GGATGGATGGATGGATGGATGGATGGATGGATGGATGGATGGATGGAAGGGCTCTGTGGGACGGAAGGATGATGGATGGACGGACAGATGGACAGACGGATGGATGGATGGACGGATGGATGGATGGATGGATGGATGGACAGACGGAAGGACAGATGGATGGAAGGGCTCTGTGGGATGGAAGGATGGAAGGTGCTGTCCTGGTGGTGCTGTGGGGCTGCAGCCCTGCTGTTCTGACAGCACTTTTCTCCCCTCAGTTCTGTCCCACCAAGGCCGAAGCGCGGAGGAGCGCCGCTAAGATCGCGCTAATGAACTCCGTGTTTAACGAGCATCCCTCACGGAGGATCACAGACGAGTTCATCGAGAAGAGCGTTTCGGAGGCCCTGGCATCCTTTAACGTAAGGCTCTGCACGGTGGCATCGCAGAATCACCGGGGTTGGAAGGGAGCTGCAGAGATCTCGGAGTCCAACCCCCTGCCAAAGCAGTTCCTGCAGCAGGTCGCACAGGTCGGTGTGCAGGCGGGTCTGGAGCATCTGCAGAGAAGGAGACTCCAGCAGCCCCTGGGCAGCTGCGCCAGCGCTCCGCCACCTCACCAAAGCAGTTCTTTGCACGTTTGTGCAGGACTTGCTGCGCTGCAGTTGCTGGCCGTTCCCCTCGTCCTGTCTCCAACACTGCTGAAAGGAGCCCGGCCTCGCCGCTCTGCCCCACACCTCCATATTTACAGACCTGGCTCAGGTCCCCTCTCGGCCTCCTCGAGGCTGAACAGACCCGCTTCCCTCAGCCTTTCCCCACAGGGAGAAGCTCCAGGCCCTTCACCATTTCGTGGCCCTTCCCAGGAGCTCCCTGTCCTTTTTGTACCGGGGAGCCCAGACCCGGACGCAGCGCTCCACACCGGCAGCCTCCACCCTCACCAGGTCCCCGCACGGAGGGCGGCGGGGAGCAGCACCCACCTTCCATGGTCTCCGTCAGCCGATCCGCCACCTTCCTCACCACGGCGCTCAGCGTCATTTTGCCATTGAGGAGCAGCTCCTCCACCAGCAGCTCCCCGGTGTCGCCGTACAGCGCCTTGGCTGTGTAGATGTAGCGCGGGTAGCGCAGGATGCGCAGCACCCGGCGGCACCGAGCCTCGTACTCCACGCAGCCGCGCTTCTGCAGCTGGTAGGCGGCCAGGTTGTGCTGGATGAGGACGCACAGCGCCTTCCTCACCTGCCCGAGAAGCTCTCGCTCGGTCACGCGCTCGCAGAGCCCTCGAGGCGCCCCGGCCCATTTTTGGGCCCCCGCTGCCCCCCGTTGCCCCCCATACCTGGTCCAACGCCAGCCCGGTGTCAGCACAGATGGCCCGCAGTGGCTGGCTGCCCGTCCTCACCAGGTATGTCCCCACCTTCTCCACAATCTCCCCGAAATGCTCTCGCAGCAGCAGGGAGCACAGCTTTATCTCCGCCTGCGTCATGGCGGCACAGCTGGGATCACGGCTGGGGAGCAGAGCGGAGCCCCGTGGTTCTCAGCACGGCTCTGGGGGCGGCCGTGGCACTGAGACCCTCGGCCACAAAGCCCCCAAACCCCCCCCCACTGACCCCCGGCACCGGGCAGCTTCTGGGATGGGGGGGGGGGGTGGGGGGAAGGGGGAACCGCTGTTCTCTGCAGCTCTGGGGGCAGAAAGGAGCCGTTGTGGGGATGGGTTTTACGGGAGAAGGAATTTTGTGAAGGCAGAGCAAATGGGATTTTGGGGTGAAAACTCTTCGTTAAGGGAGGGGTTTTGAGGGGAAAAACCCCATTCTCCAGTGGATGGGGAGGGGATCCGGGGCTGAAATCCTCCTTTTACCAATTAAAAAAATAAAAATCCCATTTTCTCGATGACTCAGTTCCAGAGTGGGGAGGGGGAGAGAGGGAGGGGGGGGAGCGGGACATTTCCCGGGGAGGAGGAGCCGCTGCCCCCCCGCCACCGCTGCTCGCCCCCGCCCGCCCCTTCTGGAGCAGATCACCGCCGGGGGCCGCGCCCACCCACACGGAGCTCCTGCCGGGGTTCCCGGGTCCCCACGCCCCCGCCCCGGGCTCGCGGCGCTGCCGGGATCCCCGCGTCCCTCCCGGCTCCGCGGCAACGCCGGGCTCCTCGCCCCCCCGGCGCCCCGCTCTTACCGAGGCCCGGCTTAAACCCACGCGACCACCGCGGCGAACACCATTTCCGGCGCCCAGATGATTACTTCCGCTTCCTCGGCGCCGCCGCTCCGGAGGACCGCGGCTACGTGCCGCTCTACCCGCTCCGTCTCGTCGTGCCGCTGTGACGCCGCGCTCTCTCGGAGCGGCCGGGAGGACCGGAAGTGCCGGCGCTCTATCCGTCGGGCCGCCGCCTCGCTGCCCGGCCGGAGGACTGACGGCAGGGAGCCGGCAGAGGAGGCGGAGAGAGAAGATGGCGGAGGCCTCCGCGGCGGCGGCGGCCGCCGTGTCCCAGCACCGCTTCTTCTGCCACAGCTGCAAAGGGGAGGTCAGCCCCAAGCTGCCGGTAAGCCAAGGGCGCTCCGAGAGGCCGGGCCGGGAGCGGGCCCGGGGGAAAGCCGCGGCCCTCGGCGCCCCGCAGAGCGGGGCCGGGGCTCCGCGCGGAGCGGCCGGCGGGCAGCGCTGCCCCCATCGCGTCGCCGGGGCCGTGCTGGGCCCGCCGCCCCCGAGGCCTCCTAGCGGGGGTCCCGGGAGCCCGGGAGGGGAGGGGGGCCGCCAGACCCCCGCGGTGGGGGTGACCCCGACCCCTCCTCCGGGCCCCGCTCTCCCGCCCTGCTGAGCCGTGGGCTGCCGGCTCCCCTCCTTCCCTGCCGTCTGCAGGGGGCTGCGACCCCCGTGTCCCCTCCCCAAGAAAAGCTCTCGGGGATTGCCGCCCCCCCGTCAGAGCTCGGCCGTCCCTCGTGGGCAGCGCCGACCCCCCCGAGCCGCACGGAGCGCCGGGGCTGTGGCGACCCGAGGGCTGAGCGCCGCTCCCGGCCCATAACTGAGTTCCTTTAGGGCCGGGCTCGGCCCCGGTGCCTTCCTCACTGCGGGGTGAGGAGCACGGGGGCGGTGGGGCTGCCGCGACCCCGACGTGCCCCACGTGGGGTCCATGCTGGATGTCGGGGTCGGGATGCCCTCCGCTCTCGCCCCGTATCCGAGCCCGTGTGGGGCTGGGGTCGGTCCCGGTGCCCGCCTCACCTGAGGGTGAAGAGCAGAGGCTGCTCGGAGCCCACGGCCCTCTGAGATGCTGCGACCCCAACGCTCCGCTGTCAGGGGCTCTGCTGGGTGTGGGGCCGGGGCTGGGCTGTGCTCTGAAGGCATCTCACAGCCGCTGCCACGTCCGTGCCCGCGCTCCCTCCACCACTGCACCCGCCCTCCCTCCACGTCTGCCCTTATCCCACTGCCCTCACGTCGGGGGTTTCGCCCCGCACCCCCCCGCGCTGTGCGCTATGAGGCGTTGCATCCCCTCCCCCCGTCGGACAGCCGCGTGCCCCCCTGCTTGTGGGGCCGAGCCGCTCCTGACGCTTTCTCTTCCCCCGCGTCCCCGCAGTTTTGCTCGGCTCTCCCTCCGCACCGCTTCCCTCTGCCGCCGACGCGGGCGCTCTGCCCTCCCGCATCTCGGTGAGGAGGAGCGCCGTGCGGGAGCGGCTCGACCTCTCTGTCCCCGCGGAGCCCCCGCGTGCGTGCGGAGCGCGTCGTGCGGCCGCGGTGCGGCGGTGCCGAGCGCCTCCCGGGCGGATCTTCCCCGGCACTGCACGGCTGCCGCCCGCGGGTTCCTCTGCTTCTAAATCGGGATCCGGCGCCGCGGGTGGGAAGGAGGTCGCCGCATCTTCGGTGTGTGGGGGGGAGGACGGCCGGCCCGGCTCTCCTGGCGTGCTCTGCTCCACTTTCTGCTTCCAGAGCGCCGGGATTGGGGCTGCGCGAGTGTCCTGAGCTCTGCGTGCTCGGGCTGTGCGGGATGTTGGCGCTGTGCGGGTGGTTGGGCTCTGGCTGTGCTCGGGGCTGGGTGCCCCGTTGCGGTGGGAAGCACCCGCTGTGCTGAGCTCAGGGCACGCGTCGCTCTGCAGCCGTCCGTGTGAACTGAGCCCTGCGCCCCATCGCAGCTCCACGTCCTGCTCTGCTGGCGGTGGGGTGGAGGTGGAACGGCGACGGCCCCGCTGAGCCCCGGTGCCGCTCCGTGTGTCCTCCCCAAAGCTGCTCCTTCCCTCCAAACGGAGCGCTCGGAGCCGGGGCTGCAGTTTGCGCAGCGATGGCTTTGGGGAGCGCCGTGCAGCACGGGGGCTCGGGGTCGCGGGGGACAGCGGTGGTGGCCGAGATGGGCCGAGCCCAGGAGCTGCCGTCGGCTCCTTCGCCCCATCCCTGCCCTGCGCCCTGCCGAGGTCAGCACCCCTCACTGCGAACCGCCGTCCCCGCAGGGTGCTCTGCCCTCGGGGGCGAAGCAGCCCCTGCCTGCCTGCCGTCCGCACGCAGGGAGGGACGCGGAGCCGAGCGGGGCAGCGCGGCCCGGGGGAGGGCGATGCCGGCTGCTCCCGGGGAGGAAGCGCACAGCGGGGGCGGGCGGAGCGGATCGGCGGCAAACGGCGGTGCTGACGGTGGCGGAGGGACGTCGTGCTGCTGCTCAGCTCCGCGTCCTGCCGGCAGCCCGGGACGGCGCGCCGTGCTGCGGGGGAGGAGGGCTGTGGGCAGCTGGGCGTGGGGTGCTCCGCTCTGCTCCGCTCTGCTCCACTCTGCTCCGCTCTCCTCCGCTCTGCTCTGCTCTGCTCTGCTCCATCTCGGTGCTGAGGGGCATGCAGGCGAGAAGGGCACGGCGCTGCCCGGCTGCTGTTCCGCCTTCTGACCCGCTCGGCTTTGCTCGGCGCGCTCTGCTTCAAAGCAGCTTTGCTCGCTTCTCAGTCCAGAACACGTGTGTGCGTTGCTGTCTGTTCCGGCCGTGCACGAGGGAGCTGCACCCAGTGCTGCTGCTGCAGGTGGCCGCTGCTGCCGGCTGCCTGCAGAGCACCGGGCTCAGGTGTGGCTGCAGCTGTGCAGTGCTGCTGGCGCTCCTCTGGACAGCCCACCCTGCGCCCACCCTGCGCCCACGGGCGTCGCTCCCAGCCCAGTCTGACACGGAGCTGCTGCCGCCCGACCCCGCGCAGCTCACCGCTTCCCCTTCTCACCCCTCTGCCTCTGTTCATCCCAATGGTTCCCAGGAGGATTCGTGCTCAAAGAGAAGCATCGCAAAGGGATCGGGCAGAGCTGCCCGTGGCTGAGCTGTGCCGTGGGGCCCCTCACCGCAGTGTCGCAGCCCCCCGCCCGCTCTGTGGCAGCCCCGGTCCGTGCTGCAGCACATGGCTGCGCCCCCCTTGGCTCTGCGCTCTGGCAGTGCTCTGCATGGTGTGGGCCGGGCTCCGTCCCGCTGTGCTGACATCACACGGCTCAGCCCGTCCTCCTCCTCCCCCCAGGAGTACACGTGCCCCAGGTGCGAGTCCGGCTTCATCGAAGAGGTGACAGAGGATTCCAGGTGCGTGCGGTGCTGAGGGGTGATGGGGAGCTGCCGCGGCAAAAGGGGGCTGCGCTGAGCCGCCATCAGCGCCTTCCCCTCCTTCCCCACTCTGCCTCCCAACCCCCCCCAGAGCTGGGGTCCCATCCCCCCCCCTCCGTGTCCCCGCCCCCCCAGGGGGTGCTCAGGTCCGTTCCCCCCCCGCTCTTTGTGCCCCTCGCACCCCTCCTGCCCTCCCCCTCCATCCCTCCTGCGGTGTTTTGGAGACCCCCCCCCCGACCGTCCGTTCCCCCGCAGTTTCCTGGACGGCGGTGGCCTGGAGGACGGCCCTTCGGCGCAGTTTGCAGAGGTGTGTTGTCCCACGGGGGGCTTTGGGGTGGCAGGGAGGAGCGGAGCGCCGCCAGCAGCGCCGCGTGACGCGTCGCGTTCCCCTCTCGCGCAGCTCTGGGACCACTTGGACCACACCATGTTCTTTCCTGACTTCAGACCCTTCCTGAGCGGCGGCTCTCTGGACCAGGACAGCAGAGACAACGAGCGGGGCCACCAGGCCCACGCCGAGCTCTGGGGGCCGAGCCGGCCGCCGCGGTTGCCCATGGCGCGCAGGTTCCGCTCCCGGGGCAGCTCCCGGCCCGACCGCTCCCCGGCCATTGAGGGGTACGAAGCCCCCGGCCGGGGGGCGCTGGGGGGTCCTGGCTGTGGGGCGCTGCGGTCTGGGGGTGCCGTGGGGCCTCTGAGCCCGTGCATGTGGCGCATGTGGGAGGGGGGCAGGGAGGGCAGGGTGTGGGGCGCCGCCCCCTCCTGCAGTGCTGCATCCATGCTGCATCCATGCTGCATCCATGCTGCATCCATGCTGCATCCATGTTGCATCATACCACATCCACACTGCATCCAGACTGTGTCCAGGCTGCATGCACCCTGCATGCACCCTGCATGCACCCCCTGCTCGCTGTGTCCCAGCACTCAGCTTTCTGCAGGCGGCTGCCGGCCGCAGTTGTGACGCTGCGGTGGCAGCGCAGCTCAGAGCCGTCGGCTCAGCTCGGCCCTTCCTGCTTCCCTCCCCAGCATCATCCAGCAGATCTTCGCGGGCTTCTTCGCCAACTCGGCCATTCCCGGCTCACAGCACCCGTTCTCATGGTGAGTACTGCGCCGGCCTTCGCCCCGGCCCTCTGCTGGCACCTGTGCGCCACTGCACACCAGTAAAAACAGCAGTAAGAACCGCAGCGAACAGCAGCTGCCCGGTGCCTGGGAGCCACTCTTCCCATTTGCCCCCAGTGCGGCTGCGAGTCTGCAGTGGGAGGCTGGGGCCGTGCAGGGCTGTTTGCTGAGCACACGGCACCGCACTGCACCTCACTGCATCCACACTGCACCTCACTGCACACCACATCACTGCACCACACTGCACATCACTGCATCCACACCACATCACACCGCATCAAGCTGCATCCATGCCACGTCACGCCACATCACGCTGCATCCACAGGAGCGGGATGCTGCACTCCAACCCCGGCGATTACGCGTGGGGACAGAGCGGCCTCGACGCCATCGTCACGCAGGTGAGCGCTGCTCAGTGCTGCAGAGCCGTCGCCTGCAGTGCTGGCCGTGTGTCTGCGTGTTCTGGGCCGTCCACAAACCGCCCCTCTGGGAGCTGCGGCGCTGGGGGAGGGGATGGGGAAGGGGCCGCGGTGGGGAAGGGGCCGGGCAGCGCTGCTGTGCTGCTGTGCTGCTGCTGCTGTTGTGCCACGGCCGGCTGCTCCCAGCGGGACGAGTCCCCGCGTCTGACCCACGGCTTCCTCCTCCCATCCTCTGCCTGTGGGGCACGGAGCTGGGAGCAAATGATCCCCATCCAGCCCCACTGGGCGATGGAGACCCAGAGATCCCAGTTTGGGGATGGGGGCCCATAGGTCCCAGCTGAGAGGTGGGGACTCGTGCATCCCAATTTGGAGGCGGGCGCAGGGCGCGGATCTGAGCCCATCCCGCTCAGTCGGGAAATGAAGACCCATAGATCCCATCCCAGTTCGGAGATGAGGACCCACAGATTCCAGATGAGGGGTTTGGACCCAGAGATCCCAGTTTGAGGTGGGGACCGTAGGTTCCATCCCAGCCCAGCTGGGAGATGAGGACCCATAGATCCTGGCCTGTGCCGTCTCAGTTTGGAGATGAGGACCCACAGATTCCAGATGAGGGATGTGGACCCAGAGATCCCAGCTTGGAGATGACGACCCATAGATCTCGGCCCATCCGAGCTGGGAGCCGGGCCCCATGGATCAGATCCCATCCCGTTACAGCTGGGAGATGGGCCCCCCCAGCTCACGCTTTGGGGCAAGGAGCTTTGCTGTGTGGTGCCCCTCACCGTGCTGTGGGGTGGCGCTGGGATGCAGCTGCCGGGCTGTGCCCCACACCTCGTCCTGTGCCCCACACCTCGTCCTGTGCCCCACACCGTTCTGTGCCCCACACCTCGTCCTGTGCCCCACGCCTCATTCTGTGCCCCACACCTCATCCTGTGCCCCACACCTCGTCCTGTGCCCCACGCCTCATTTCGTGCCCGCGCAGCTCCTGGGACAGCTGGAGAACACGGGGCCGCCCCCGGCCGACAAAGAGAAGATCTCCTCCCTGCCGACGGTGGCGGTGACTCAGGATCAAGTCGGTGGGTGTCCGCGTTCCGGGGGGGTTCGGGAGGCGCGGGTCCTCCCCGTGCGCGCCGCCGCCTCTCCGCCGTCGCCCGGGGGCGGCGCTCGCGGCGCGGGCAGGACGAGGAGAGCCGCCTCCGAGCGCCGCTCCCCGCCCGGGGCTCCGCAGACACGGGGTTGGAGTGCCCGGTGTGCAAGGAGGACTACGCGGTGGCCGAGCAGGTGCGGCAGCTGCCGTGCAACCACTTCTTCCACGGCGGCTGCATCGTGCCCTGGCTGGAGCTGGTAAGAAGCGCCCTCCGGGGTCCCCGCGGCCGCGGCCCCGCGCCGCCCGCTCAGCCCCCGCCTCCCCCCGCAGCACGACACGTGCCCGGTGTGCAGGAAGAGCCTGAGCGGCGAGGATTCCTCGCGGCACTCGCACGGCCCCGCGCCGGGCGGCGGCTCCGGCGGCGACAGCCAGAGCCGGGAGCGGTGGACGTTCTGACGCTCCGCCCGCTGCCGCCCGGCGGCTCCGGCGGAGTCGCGCCGTCCGATCCCCGAGCCGCCCGCCCGGCGGCCCCGGGCGCGTCGCGGCTCGGCGAGCGGCGCCTCCGCTCCGGAACACGGAACGTCCGGGCGCCGCGGGCGGCTCCGAACCCCGTGACGGGGCGGGCGGAGCTCCGCGGGCCGGGGGGGAGCCGCGGCCGCGTTCCGTGGGCGAAGGGACGGAGCGGCTCCGGGCGGGGGGCGGCGGGGCGCGGCGGCGCTGTGCCGCGGCTCCCGTCTCCGCTCCGTTCCTGCTCCGCGGCTCCATCCGCGCCCCGGGTCTGTCTGTGCTCTTTGGGTCCATCCGTGTCCGAGGGTCCGTCTTGTCCTCGGGTCCGTCTGTCTCCGGGTCCGTTCACGTCCCCGGGTCCGTCGGCGCCCTTTGGGTCCATCCGCGTCCCCGGGTCCGTCCGTGGCCTTGGGTCTGTCCCCGTCCCTGGCTCAGCTCGGTGCCCATCCACGCCCCCCGGTCTCTCCGTGTCTCCCCCTCCGTCCCTCCGCGGAGCACCGCAGCCCCCAGGCGCTGCGCATCCCGGACCGCCCAGACGGCGCAGAGCCGCGGAAGAGCCGCTCGTTGCTCCGCTCTCTGTCCTTTTATTTCGGCGCTTCCGTCGCATCCCGGCCCAAAGGAAGCCCCGTTTGTACGGCCCCGACGGGTCCCCGCGCCGACGGTTTGCGATGATGTCCAATAAAGGCCTTTCTAACGACCGGCGCGGGGCTGCGCCGCCTGCGGTGCTCCGTGCCGGGGGGGGTCGGCACCCCATGAGCCCCCCCACGCTGCGGCTGTCGCCCTTCGGGGAGGTGCAGGGGGGCGGCAGGGCCGGCCAAAGGTCCGGGGGGGGAGGGAATGGGGGGCC